TGGTTTCCATATGATCGCACGATCGCAATTGATCGCAGACGATCGCAGAGGATCGCAGAGGATCGCAGAAGATAGAACATGGTTCTATCTTCTGCGATCGTCTGCGATCGTCTGCGATCACGATCGCAGGATCGCAGACGATCGCAGGCGATCGCAGAAGTGTGTTTCCATATGATCGCAGAAAATCGCAGAACTTTTTGCGATCTGCGATCCGCGATCCGCGATCGTCTGCGATCATATGGAAACCAGCCTTAAGCGTACTTCCTTACGCTCTAATTTACCCGCTTAGACAGCTCACATCTGGTTTCAAGGACAAGGTTTTCTTTTACAAGTCTCATTGCTGAAAATTTTTTGAGCGAGTTAACTTTTTTTCAACTCGCAAGACGTAAACATGTACGTAAACGATAGGATAAGATTTTGTCTCCTTTACAAGTTTCCTGGTTCAAAACCTGACATGCCGCGTTTTCCTCGACAAAACTTCGAACAATCTTGCGATTTAAGAAGGTTTCCTTTGAGACTGTTCTTTCTTGTCCAGAAACTGCTTTGCCAACATTTAAACAAATCTGTAAATCCCGTAACATATGACAGCATAAAACTCAATATGGAAATGGGCGGAAGTAAAACACCAGCGACTGGATTGAGCCAAGTGTTTGTCAGCTTGGCATGCGCAATTCAACCGGAAGTCCGTAATCTTCGGACTCCCAATACGAGCTTTTACCACGGTCACCTGTTTCCCACCGCTGGTCAAGGTGAACGAAGACTCCGGGTACGAGGTTGAGGAACAGCTTGAAAATGGGTAATGTGAAAGAAAGCCGCGCATTTTGGTGCTACTCCTGAGCTGAGAAGGCCTGGAAGGCGGAGTGGAAGCTACCCTGAGCTGACACGAAATAAAATGCACCTGCTGACTTAGCCATGAAATAATCTTGACCGGGAGCATGTCATTTTTCCTTATAATAGAATATTATTTCCGAGCAAGCTGGTCACAAAAAAGTCATCAATTGGAGGATTTTGTATCAATCGATGCAAAACTTAATTCTCAAGACTTACCTTAAAAGAAATAATTCGCAATGAAAAAGGAGAATTGATATTTTGTGTTAACGGTATGGAGTGAAAAAAACGGAGAAAAACTTACTGTTTTCCACGCGGGTAATGTCGAACGTACTCTCCAGTATCATGAGCCGCTACTGCCAAAATGGTCGGGTCAGCGGACTTTTCAAGTAGCTTGGTCAGGATTCTGAGGAATGAACAAAAGAAATTAGCTATACTTCATGTTCCGTAGTTTTCATATGGAGGCTAGAAACCATTGACTGCTAGTGCTCAATTGAAAACCGCACTATTATGAAGTGTAAATTCATTGTACTCACTTCAACAGTTCATAATTTTTCTCGTTCAGACGTTGGGCGTTTTCTCTCTGCAAAACAGTAATCAACAGCAACGTAATTTTTCTTGCATTTCTTCTTGGTGTACGTTAAGACAGTAATATATCCTATTCTGATGATATTCTTTATTCTGTCTGTTTGACAATTTATTACATTGATATTGTAAGGTAAATTAGATGCCGATTACAGCTGGGTATCAAAAGGTTAAAAAACAACTACTGTAAAAACATAAGTTAAAGCATAAACAAAATCACTGACATCGGTTTTCAATCAAAGAAGTTCACTACTTTACCCAGAACTTCTCAGACTTGTGCACTGGACTCCACTCCAGTCTCCCTGATCTAACTTCGGCTGCATATTCATCAAAGGTACTGGGACAAGAAAAATAGTATAGTCAGAACAATTAGGGACGGATTGTAAGAAGTTATAATTTTACTCAGTTTGAGGAAGCCGTGTAAAAGATCTTTGTTCACTGGACGTTTCTCACCTCAAGTCTTGAACTCGCTCATTCAGCTTCTCGTACACAACCTCAACATCATCCTGAATAGAAAAAACAACAACAACAAGAAAAACCTAAGTCTTGTACTTTGCAGCTGAAAAGATCTCGTTAGTTGTTTTGCAGTAGTAATGTAGGCGACATACCCGTATGTCTTCGTCAACCCATGTTTTGCCATTCAGCACAGAAAGAACCTGCGAAAATAAAACACGAGACACCTTGTGGTTAGCATCAAGCCAGAGTGAGGTCTGAACAGAGTGACAACATAATGTGTGTCAACCAAGGTGGACCTGTACACCCCCCTTCCCCACCCCCCCCCCCCCCCCCCCCCCCCCAAAAAAAAACAAGAGAAGTCTGAGATTTGACAAGAAAATTTCCATAATGATGACGAAGCAGTGCAAATATTACTGTAGCATATCTGATTGGTTGTTACTGTCGCGTGGAAAATCGCAACTTGGTAACAGCCTATCGCAGACGTTACAGGGATCTTTGAAGAACTAGAGACAGCGTGTCATCAATGAAGTCTTTTTCAGCTGAAATGTAAATGCACAAATGTAATTTTATTCACCCGTGTAACACACAAGAGCTCCCAAGAACTTTTTGTATTAAATATTACTATTGAAATCAGTGGGAGAGTTGGTTTTTTGGAAGGAGGGAAAACAGAAAAACCCGGAGAAATACCCTCGCAGTAAAGATGAGAACCAAAAAACAATGTCAACTCGAATATTATGCTAGGCCCAGCCGACCCGGACCCATCTTTCTCATAGGAAATAAAACAGAAAGAGAGACGTCTCTGTTTTCTTAAAAACTGACAAAGGGTTTGTTAGCTTACGGGAAGAAGCTTGCACTGAACCATGGACAGTGCTGCCTCGTTCTTCTTCTCTTCTGGTTTCTCCAACAAATTCTACAGGAAAAAAAAGTAAAAAGAACTTTAGCTGAGATCACGTGTGACGTCTCTGCAATCCTTTGCAAACACTACTGCAAGGAGCACCTTACAATATCAGATCATTTGCATGTGATTTTCTTAACATACAGTGTAAGCTTACTAACTGATGTTGACATGGAGGAAAGCATGAAGACGTGATAACAAACTTGTTGATTGTCTACACAGGGAGCACACAATCTTGCTGAACAGGATGTGGGTGGATAAAGGAATGAAAAGAATGAATAGTTTACCTTTGTCTCCTGTTGTCATCTCTTACGCGACCTTACAGGAAAAACCGCGTCCCACATATACCGCAAAACAATGAAGCGCTTAACTCGTGCGTAGGACTTTTGGCGCTGTGCAAAATATTTTGGGGGTTTAGATATATTGTAATTATCAAATTTTATAAACCAGAGAAATTCCATTCTCTTTATTCCTTTATTCGCTCTAATCCTATTCTGCAAGATGGTGTGTTCCCTGTGATGTCTCCTTGGCTTTTGCTGAGGACGATCCACAGATAGTCTTTGACATCGATTTTTTCCTGACCCAGTTAGTTGATGAACACTGTTTTCACAGTTGTAGCAGCCCAGCTCATTTTGCTGCACTTGTTCTCACCCTTAATGTGGCAATGATGATCCTTGTAACTTTCTCTTTGCCTGATTCCCTTAAAATGTCCGCCAACACACGAACTACAGCATTGCTCCTGTAAATAACAAGATTAAATCAATATTAATGCTGATTTGTTTTAATTCAGGTGAACAAAATCAGTACTGAATAAGTATTTGCTCTGTTACTTCATATTCAAGTTAAGTCTGTCCACAGAGTGACGTTTTTAGTTTTTTTCTTTCTGCTATTTTTTTTCATCAAGCACGCGCTCACTCGCGCTTGAGTTTGTCTTTCCCCAGCCCCACCCCCTTGCATTTTGGCTTGTTCATATCCAACGAGCTGAGTTAATATTTTGCTAAGGTCATCGTGATCTCAACAAACTCAAGACAAAATAGATGGTTTATGGACAGACCAAGTGTCAATTTACCCAGTCATTCTCTGTGCAATCCTTGGATCAAATGACAACAGCCACAGAACAAAAATCAACTGGTACTGGAGTTGGAAACCAATGTTTGGTGCCACGAGGGCGGACACAACACTGAAACAAACAATAGAACAACAAACTAAACTAAGGTGTTAATTTAGAGAGGAAGTGGCCTGGTTTACAGACCACAATGGACTATGCAACAAGAGGTCCAGCTTAGAGCCCTGGTTGGTCATTGGGTAGTGTCTAAAATGAAAGACACTTTACATGCAGAGTGCCTCTCCCCACACAGGTATAAAACTGGCTACCAACAAGACAGAACTACCTGGCAAAATCTGTTGATCACCTTCTTCATCGGTGACTGAATCCCAGCAGCTAAAAACTGATTGTTTTCTAGACATACGTGTACAGTATGACCATTATCTTGTTTATAGCTCAAAAAACTATTGTTATAACTCTGAACTCCTTGCAAATACCCACAGAGAACTTCTTTGCTGAAAACTCTCATTAATATAAAACCTAAACCCTTCACTCCCAACAGGTCAAGTCCAAGGCTGAAATTGACATTTTCAATTTCTTTTGATCACATAAATGCAACATAAATGGAGATAAAAGTAATGAAGCACTGCTCGATAGCTTTCCTTTCAATCAATCAGATTATCTACACACCTTTGAATGCCGTCCATTTTGAAGTATGCTTGCCTGCAGGAATGATGCCTCAACATCAACTGAAGACATTGTGCAACACTATGTTGATAATCATTTGCCTACACAAAACACATCAAATGATCACTGTCATGAAGATGGTGTGTGGATTCCAAGCTAAGAAAATCCCTTAAATTAGTTATCGAAGTGTCAAATATTAATCATCTCCATTGACTAATGATGTGACTAATTCCACATAAATGATCATTCTTGCAGGCTCTTCGTATGCCAAATTTGCCTTACAAGGCATTATCACTGTAACCCTATAACTGTGGTAACTAATTCCTCTACCACAGAAATGTTGAGAATAAGTTAATTGTGAGTTACATTGCATTGATTTACTGATAAATACCACCAGAATTTCATGAATAGCCATATAAATACTAACAAGCAGCAAACATACAAATGCCAGTTACTCTCAAAATGAATAATGTCTGGGCAATACAAAGAACAATTTGTGGGTAAGATGCTAACTAGAACTTCCTTATCATTGATGTACTAAGCTACAGCAGGAATACTTGAAGCACTTACTGTTGATGCCAGGCCATTTTTTACCCAGGTCAGGAAGTAATTTAGATCACTCTCAGATAATGAGACCTTTCCCCACGATGCAAGCTTTGCTATAATAATAGCCGTCTGAAGAATGCAATAAAGAAAATAAAATGTCACTATTTAGAAAGGGTTAATGTTATGGCATGCTAAAACAACAGACGACCATTTGGTGGGCAATCTTGGGCAGGGAATGTACTGGCGAGCCTCGGATAAAACCCACCAACCAGATGCACCTACTGGATTAGGGGCCTCAGTAGATGGCTCCATGCCGAGGGGGTGTCCCATGCCTGTGCTGAAAGGTGGACATGCATTGTTGCTGGAATAATGTCCTGGGCCAAGTTAACCCAGTCTAGAGAAACAAAATTAATAATGTCCCCTCCCTGAAAGGGCTTAAGCACAGGGCTGAAGGGATGCTATGTGCAGCAAGGAAAAACATGTTATAATTTAGATTGGGAAAACAAATTATCTACTTTTATTAATAATTATAGTTGGGAATTGCACAAGCCAAGCAGATTCGAAGAGCAACAAAAAACTAACTTCAAGTTCACTTTATTTAATATAATAAACACTTTCTAATGGGGAGGCAGATTATCCATGTAAAGGACTTTTGAAACACATTGAAGTGATAACAGACCATTGGCTGCCTGGAAAAGCCAATGACTGACTAACATTGTTTTGCATGCTACAATTTTATTACATACCTGGTGGACCATAAACTGATCCTGTCGGTTGAGAAGTTTCAAGAAAGATGCCCATACATTGATGCTGGCCCTGAAGGACACAAATGACACATCGCTGCTAGTGTACAGTGGTAAAAATTCAGCACAGTTTCACTTGAATTAGTAACAAGGCATTTTACTACATTTAAGTGCATGACTGTACTACTAAAAAGCAAACAAATTAGTACCTTTTACCAAAGTTGTGAAAAATAGACACTCTGCTTCTATCCTCCTGGAAAAGGAACATTTTTGAATTTCATAGAATATTGCAAATGTTAATTAACAAATGTAGAGGTTCAGTATTACATATTTTCACCTGATATGTAAAAGAAACTAAGTTGTGTGAAGTTTAAGAAGAAAAAAATAAAAGTAAAAAATGAAAAAAAAAAACCACCACATTTTGGATCATTTTAAGGCAACTGCAGAGTAGAAAGTAACTTACATGTATTACAATCCACATGTATATTACGCGTGCTAGACAAGTACACTTATTGTTCTGTATACACTAACATTGCAAAACTTTACATTTTTATAATTTATTACATGCAAGTAACATACTAATCGTATCAATAACAAAATTTGTTATCGTTGGTTCCTCCCATTTCTATTAGTCTCACGATCAGCGCACAATCATGTAAAAGGCATCCAGTTACAACTATTTATAACTGGATATGTCTGGTAGTTGGGTACCATTCACACGTCAATATTACATGCACTTTAATGGCTTCCTTCTTAATGTTTCCTACAGTTTTTAAAAATTTATGGAAAGTACTACTGACTCTTTCAATCAAAAGAAGCTCTCGAAAGACTTTTTTTACATAATTTTTGAAATTTGCTATTGATACATGTACGATTAATTAGTAATTGGATTTAGGGAGCAACCATGCCCGTAATTTCAAATCTGCCTTGGGTTACACACTCGTTTGTGTTTGAAATTACTGGTGTGATTACTCCCTGAATTGTACGTCAAATAACGATTAGTTAAGTTAAATAGTATAATACAGGCCTAACAACATTTTAGTTCAAAATACAAATTGCAGATTTACTCACAGTGAGCACGTCATCAATCAAGACAAGTATGTATCTGATTGTATGATCACGAGATAGTCGAGCCAGCAGTGATAAACAGCTCTTCACAAACTTAAGACAAACACATGCATATGTAAACAACTATGAAACAAATGTTCACTGACTGTATGACGAGGGACTTTTGGGAGATATAATTTATTAACATGTTTCCTCAATCTGTTAGTCCATTGTACTTATCCAGTATTGTCCGGTCTCAAAAAAGCTATAAATCAAAATTATTATAAAATTAAAATAAATAGTGATCTTGTTTGGTTTTGGCCAATAAATGTCCTTTTCAGGGGAAATTATGTTTGCAATATTTGCCGATGCATTTCTGTGGTTGAATCGGCAGAGTTCTACATTTAACGACCCTATTAGGGTCGAGAAAGTAAAATCAATGATGTACTTACTTCTGATTACGTGACACGTGATTGATGAAAAAAATTCTCCGTGATGCATGATTTAATAGAAATATTTGCCATGATGCACGATTGGTACCCCCCTTTGCCACCCTCAGCAAGGTACCTAGGAAACGCTACCATTGTGGACAGAGTTGTTACCATCAGCTATTTAACTGGCTGAGCATCACTTTTGTTACACTGTAGCCTCAGGTCTTGTGTCCCCTTGCATTCAATTTTTATACTTCAAGGTAGTACCTAAAATTATTTGTGATTTAATTATTACCTGGTCACCCTTTTGCTCAAGTATTTTTCCTCTTTCTTCCACACCCATGCAGTCATAATCAGCTATCATTGTGTAATCTTCTTGGTTAATCATTTGACTCCTGACAAAATGGAATATTGAATCAATATAATCCAAAAAACAGAACACTGAATTAAAGATAATAGACAGTCTATTCTGAAGGCACAACACATGAATTACACAAAGTAAAAGTACACTATGTCACACTCAGGGCTTGAAAAATTCTTGAATTCCAGCTTGCCCTTGGGACAAGTATCTCTCAAGTCAAGTCTTAGTCTGCTCTTTTAATGGTTTAGCTGGCAGACGACTTGTGTGAATGATCCCCTGCCCATCAAGCAAGTGAGAATGAAAGGTTACTTGCCCAATAGGAAATTAAATCTGCTTGTCCCGGACGACCAGACGGCACTTTTTCCAAGCCCTGGTCAGACTAGCATGTACACATGGTATGGGCTGCAAGGTAGGCTAAAGATAAATGAACTAAACCTTGGATGGGCAATCTGGATCTGAACATTGGACAAGCCTTGTTGTTGTGTGCTCTTGGATAATACACATTGTGCTCTGACAGTATACACTCAATTCACATGACCTCTCTTTATGCATAGGTGAATGTCAAATAAATAAATTCTTTGAGACAAATTGGCACCTACAGCTGTCAGTGCATACATATATTTAAAAGAAAGTAACTTACTGTACATAAGACTGCCAATTGACTTTCTGTTTCCTGACTTCTTCACTCTCCACTGATAATCGACCAAATGGCATCACAATAGCTAAAAATGACACCAACAGTGATATTTCTTTAAACACAAAAAACAGAGGCATGACAATGTGCTTTCAAAGTACAACTGGAACCTAAAGGAGACTAGGACAAATTGCAGCAAATAAATCATAAATAAACAATATACATGTAAATATTTTACCTGAGGAAAGATTGGGATCATCCACACCATCACCCCTACTTGAGGCAATATCTGCAAGGCTCTGATAACTAGACATATTAAAAATCTGGAGGAAAACAAAACAACAAACAATAAATTCCTCCACTGCAGACAAGCTTGTTAATCAAATTATATTGTATACCGTGTCAGAAACAAAACAATTTAACAACACATCAGTAAGAACATCGTCACTTAAAACACTTTAGATACTTTGACACCTAAATAAGCTCTTATCTTATCGACAACTTCACTTTCTTCAAAAGGAGAAACTATAGCCTAAACGTTTTTGGAATATCATCTTTTAGGCTTAAGTATTTTACAATATTTCGGTAGTAAACAGAGCCCTGATCGACAAGTTTTTGCGATCTTTAGTATACATAAATCGCTTGACTGATATAAAAAATGGACAGAATTATCAAAATATATGAACTAACTTACGATTTAAACGAACTGACCGGTCAAATATTGATGAAAAAACCAGACAAGATTGATCAAAACCACCATAACTCTATCTCATTCTCATGTGACTTGTGCCACCGAGGACTGTGAAAGGACTGGGATTTTCGTAAGGCTTGGTTACATTTTCCAAACAAACATGGCGGACGATCTCGCGAAGTTTTGCGCTGCAGAAAAGATGTTATTTATTTCCTTCAAATGCCTTGAAATACTTTAAAGCTATATAAATGGAATCAGGTAACTATTTTAAACGTTAAATTGTATAAATTAAGGTCTGGTTTGAGATCTTGAGGTTTTGAACAGATACCCACTTCGCACTGTAAATCGATGCTTTTTCATTAGTAAAGCTTGTAAGCTCCCCGGCCTCTTTAATAAGCCATCGATTTGGAGCAGCTGCAAGTGGTATGTATATTTGTAATTGACTCTATTTTCAGTTGTTTGTCTAACATGTCAAAATCAACCTCAACCAATATACAATCGAACCCTTATTTTAAGCGGCCACCTATTAAACGGCCACCTCTATTAGGGGGCCAGTAATCAAAGTCCCGATGAGGTTTTTTTGTATTGTTTTTACCTCTATTAAACAGGCAGCCCCTTTTAAGCAGCCACTATCCATTTCCCTGAGGGAAAAGATACAATGTACATGTATGTCTTGTTGACAATGCAACTACAGTGGTACCTGAAATGACTTGGAGTGATTGTTTTTTGCAGAGACAAGAAGTGTCAGCCCTTCACCGAGCCTTCCACCGATCTCCAGAGAGCAAGCCTTGCTTGAGTCTTTTTTTCATGCTCTCAGTCAGTTTGCTTTTGACAAGGCAAAAGACCAAGTGGTCAGTTATTTTTAATAATGGTATTACTAATTATTGTAACAGGGATGTCAAAAGTTAAGGCGGCTGCCAGCAAAGATCGCAATCTATTCATGATCTTGGTTGGCTTCTCTCCCAGCCTATTTGTCTGATTCTTTAGAAAAAGATGGCAAAATGAGCCACATACTCTGGCAGATTGTAAGTATGGGTTATTGACTAAGCGTAAGGTTATGATGGCTGGACATTGCCCAAGTTCTTTTTTCTCAACTCTGTCCTGATCCATAAAAACACAAAAACACATCCAGCCATCTTGACCGAATGAGTTTGGTCAATAAAGGATATATTATTTGGAAAAAGAACAGTATTTTCTTGTGAAACACAGTGAGTAGTCCTGGGCGGGCAAGATAGCCCTATCTTGCCTGCTCAGGTAGCTAATCACAGCACAGGATTCAGTTAATCTTGTCCGGAGCTAGCCAAATAAGAAAGCCATTTACTTCACAAATTCATTACATGTACAACTGTAGTTGTAATTAATTGACTGATTAATAGATTAATTACTTCTTTAATCAAAAGATACCACAACCATTAGCTAACTTTCAGATGATTGTGCCTTCAGAAAGTAGTCTTACTTAATTATGTTATTATTTATCGGTTAGAAGGCCATAACATCTTATCCAAGTTATTTTGTACTCTGAGAAAATCAAAGAGTTAATTTCATATGCATGTTCCTCAAGTTAAATATGTCAAGATTTATGAAACTGAGTGTAAGTTGTTTGTTTTTACATTCAGGAGAAAGAAAAAGAAACCAAAAGATTGCCACTTGTATCTAGTACACCATGGTCATCACTTCTTATAACGCTCTCACGCCTAGCTTTGGCAGAGAAGATGTACTTTTCTCTACCTTTCATTGCCAAGAAGTTCTTCAGGAAAGATGTAAATTTATATGTACTACAGAGAGATACATGTATATTTGTGTGTCATTTGAGAGAAGCAATGACAAAATGGGTAGTGTGTTGGACTCCAGAATTTTTATTGTGTTCAATCCCTGACCTGGGTCACCGTGTTGTGTTCGTGGGCAAGACAGTTCACTCTCACAGTCTCTCTCTCCATCCAAGCACATAAATGGGCATTGATGTTTTGAAACCAATCCTGAGAGATTCAAATGACAATGGACCTGACACCCATGATGGATGACACAAACAAAAGAAGTTGGAACTTTAGAAATCCTTTGTTAATATAATTGAATTTGGTGGCAATGTCACATGAAAACCAAGAAATTATTGACAAGTTTAGAGTTGGGGGTAACCCTACAATGGAATGACATCCCATTCAAGGGGAAGTAGAAATACACCTTGTCACTTCATGCCACAAAAACCTGAGATAACTGTGCCAGCCTGATGGGCCACTAGGCTTAAATGCAGACTTTACTCACGTTGAATTTGTGCACCATGACCTATCATATAATATTTATAATAATAATTATGGTGTTGGTAACATCTGTTATTTCGTTCGCAGTCTGTAAGAGACAGCTTCAAAGCTCTGATAATAGACTTCAAAAGGATTGAAGAAAGCACACACAGCTCCTCATCCACTGGGTCCCCACTTGAAGGAAGTTTGTTGGCAGAGCTGTGCAGACATCTCTGTCAATTTTCACAAGCTAGACAGGAATTGATCGACTTGTATCTTTATCCAAGATCTGGTTATAAGCAGGAGTTACTGTTAGAGATAATTATTATACCTTTCACCAAGTGCTCCATCCTTTTTAATTTGCTTACAAAACTGTACTTTTCCTTGACTCAATAATGTTTCAGTTATGAATCCATGGCAATTATGGGATCCTCATCAAATGTGAATTATTCAGACTTGTCAAATATGATTGATGAGATCTGTCGACGGTACGGTAAAAGTGAAGAACAGTTGAAGTGAAGAACTGTCAGCCGACTGTTGGCTAACAGTCCACTGACTGTTTGCTGACAGTCCACTTTATGTTTCAGGCCAAAGTGTTGGCCAATTGTCTGCCAATAGTTGGCGACCTTAATTTTCTTTTGTGCAGTTTAGCTCATTATTTGGATCAGCAGGAGTTTTAACAAACTACGTTGATTTTCATGGGAAATATCCTTCAACACAAGGGTAAATAAAGCTCCACATCTAAATTTCTTTCTCATGAGTACTGTATTTTATATTATTCTGTAGACACAACAAAGGCTTTCATCACCCAATCCTGGATTCGCTGAAATCATGCTTCAGGTCTGGACTCTGGCAGTTTTGTTTAGTTCACTGCTGTTTAGTACTATCGGGTATATAATATTAATTCTTAGTTCCTCATCACTTATTTGCAATAATTTTGTATTGAGTAAGAAGATCACTAATTGTAAAAGCATCACAGGCACACTTGCATGTCAAGGGTTACAGCAACATATTAAGCTTCTGCATGCAGTGCACGCCTATAATCCTGCATAATAGCAATAATGATATTATTACAGCATGGTCAATTGAAAATAATGATTAAACAGTATGTTGCAGTGCAAGTAAAGGCGAGGCCCCAGCCCGGCTCACTTCGCTCACCAACTGGTCTCTCGCAGCTTTGCCTTTGCTCTGTGAATGAAAGCCAACTGGACAGCTACAAACTAAACTAACTTTCGTTCTTTTCCCTTGTAGTTTTGAAGTGGANTATCGGGTATATAATATTAATTCTTAGTTCCTCATCACTTATTTGCAATAATTTTGTATTGAGTAAGAAGATAACTAATTGTAAAAGCATCACAGGCACACTTGCATGTCAAGGGTTACAACAACATATTAAGCTTCGGCATGCAGTGCATGCGTATAATCCTGCATAATAGCAATAATAATATTATTAGAGCATGGTCAATTGAAAATAATGATTAAACAGTACGTTGCAGTACAAGTAAAGGCAAGGTGTCAGCCCGGCTCACTTCGCTCACCAACTGGTCTCTCGCAGCTTTGCCTTTGGTCATGCATGAATATTTTGATGCATGAAAGCCAACTGGACAGATACAAACTAAACTAACTTTCGTTCTTTTCCCTTGTAGTTTTGAAGTGGACATATTGTGTAATTTGTTGAAAGCACAGTGTGACATGGCTGACTGGAAGTTTCTTTCATCTCTTCTTCATCTTCATGAAAGCCACGTCAAACTGTCCTCATGGTGTCAATTTTTACCACCAGTCGAGGTATGTGATCAGCATCTGATTTCTCCTTGAAATAAAAATACCAAGTCAAATGTGCTGGTTATGAAAATAAAACAAGCTGATAACTGATAGAAGGATTGAATAGAACTTTTTAATTAGCATTTTACTGTATTGAACAATTCCTAGCAGCTTCATATCTCAGCTGGTGCAGTAACCAGGCGGTAGGGCTTAAACCCAGACTGTGCAATTGGTTGTGCACTAAATGTTACACCACACCGGCACCTCTTCATTGCATTTCTTTAGCTCCATTAATCACTTTTTGTGTTATTTTTATTGACTTGGCTGTGTTTTTCCAGCTATCAGCATCACTTACACTCAAGAAGTCACTGTTTGGTAGCACTCCAAAGAAACATCTTGAGGCACCATTTCTTTATCAGTGGCTGGGCAAACTGCAGGATGCTTTGGTGTCAAAGGTGATTTTCATATATTTTTATGTTAGATACAGGGCTGTCAATAAGGGCTGTAACCTGTAACACCTGCTACGGCTGAGCAAGTTTGATAGAGCCTTGATACCATTCACCCAAGAGGTAACAAGTTTGTCACAGGTGTGAAGATCAAGGCTACAGGTTAGATAAGACCTAATGAGAGCCCTGAGATACATTTTGCTTATATAACAAAAGAATACACTGTTTTCTTTTAATGAAAGTTGTGCATGTGAATCTCTCCCTCTGCTAGAAAGAATCAGAATTTTACATGTTTAGGAGTCACTACTTCTGTGTGTCCTTTAAAAAGCTATCAGCAGAGGGGGTTTGGGAGGATTCCATATCACTTTTCACGGGAGATAGAATAGTCATTTCATGTTTGTGTTTTCTCACCTAATCATGGGTGAATACCACAAAATCACAATCTACATCAAAGTTGGTTCTCCTTTATTATGATGGCAAATCATGGCTCATGGCTACTTACAGTAGCATTCCATGTAAAAGAAAAAATGTTTCAGAAATCTTGTGGTTTGCAAAAATGCTCCTCACCACTGTCATAGAAATTAGCCCTTGACTAATCTTCGTGTTTGTTTGTTTGTTTGTTTGTTCGTTTCTAGAGCTATAAGTGTGTTTTTTGTTGGTTTACACATAGCTTTTGTAATTTATTGATGTCAATGTTTTGCTCTTAAATTAATGAGATTTTCTGGCCTTTGTGTCTAGTTTACTCTGTACTTCTACCAAATACTTAGTAGACAAACCACACCAGTTGACATGAAGCCATTGACTGCACGAGCCAGTATTGATTACATAGGAAGGTAAGTTATGTAAGAAGATACGCGAGTTACAGTTTTAGCAGCTGTTCAAACGAAAGGTTAGGTATGATTACAATACAGTAGAGTGAACAGTACTTTCAGCCATTAGCCGGCGAGATGGAAGGTATAATTATTGTTATAAGTTAATAAATTTATTAGAAGTGATAGTGTTTGGAGTAAAATAAGAAAAATTTGTTTAGCTTGACAGTTGCCAGGAAGCGGGGGAAGGAAACTGCAATGGGCCATCTTTGTGCCTGCATGGTAAGCTGGGTAGTCATGCCTTTATTACCAGGTTAGGAATCCTGTAGGCAATGTTCAACATGGAGGGATGAGTAGGAAGGCTGTTTATATTTTGTATTTTGTAGGATTACAGCATTTATCCGGCGTTCAGATGCATTCAGTGTGTGCATGTTATTGGACACACATCAACTGGAGCAGTACCAGGGGCATGGATATCATTTGCCCCATGATATCAAAGAAAAACCCTCCGGCTTGGGGGCTTTTCCTGCTGTTTTTTCATTCCCTGGGGTAAGTTACAGGCTCGGATCGTTATCCCCATGATATCAAAGAAAAACCCTCTGGCTCAGGAGCTTTTCCTGCAGTCTTTTCATTTCCTGGGGTAAGTTATAGGTTTGTTACTTATGTGAAAAGTAACATAATGTGTCTGTGGACAAGAAAGAATACAAGATTATTCTATTATTGTATTATCCGGATACAAGGTGGCAAACTAGCAGTAATTAGTGCCTTAGTCTTGTGTATGACTGAGTATTTGGACTGTGAAGAGCATTTTAGCTTGAGACACTTCTTAGCCTTCAATTATTTGGACTGGAAATTGTTATAATTTAGTTCTTGCAAACTGTGTTTGACAAACAATTCAGAAATGGCTTTAATATCGATCGGAAGTGTTTAGATAAACTTCGTTCCCGGGCTCCCTCTCTCTCAGGATGCGGAAAGAATGAGGAAGCCTGAGAGCGAGGTTGAGTCCAGACTCAAACATGTTTGTTCCACTTCACAGGACCAGCCAGTTGACCATTGGCCAAACATTGTGTCCATTCTCCTCGATAGAGTTAATGAGCTGAATTCCATGGAGAAAATCGTCTACTTCTTTGACATTGTAAGTGTGTTGTGAACATTGGCTCATTTCCTGCTCTCTCTGCCTGCTATGTTTTGAAAAGCTGGTGCGTGCGTATCCCTCCATTGTGAATGT